TAGCTCTCTTTAAAACAGTTTCATACTGAATATAAATTACTTGTAATTATCTTGCATCCCAGTATGTATTATGGTAATCTAGAAACATTTTCTTTCAAATTAATATAGTTTTTGCATAAAAGTTGGTTCATTATTATTATCATTATACTATCTCCAATAACAAAAGTCTAAAAGATATCATTCAAAAATAATGTTCACTGTAGCAGTAACAATATCTAGTATGCCTATCGGTGAAAGTTGGAAAAATAAAAGGATTTCAAAACTAGTTAGAGAAAACTACTGACAACGATTAGGCACATTTCTTTCATCAAGATTAAATATTAATGTTTAATAACGACTTTGACTTTAAAATATCTAAAGCTCATAGGAATTAAAAATTCAGAAAAAGAAATATATTATAAAACTCCAGAAATAGCACTCCTTTGATTATTACAGTTATATTTGAAGCCACACAATTATAAGGTTTGTGAAATACTATTGGGTTATTCTGGGTAATGATGTTTCAGACCTAAAACCATGGCTGATTCCAGGGTCATCATTCAATGACAACATTGGGAACACTATTGCAGATATATTTTAAAAATATTTATCTGTACACATAGTAGAGTACTTGTTGAAATGTTTTTGTTTTGTGCTGTTTCTAGCATTTCAAGCTCTCCAAACATTTCAGTTCAAGAGCTACAAACAAAATATCAGTTTTATAAATGAACTAACCAAATTACCTGCACTTTGCTGCATGTTACACATCTTTTGTAAGAAAATGATGATTGATTTTAAATCATTGTTATAATTTATGGAGAAAAATAATGCATTTCACTATTACTCAATGATCTCACTGATGTGACCTCCATCTTCTGACTTTCTCCTTCTATATTTTGGATAAGAGTCATTCCCTTGTTCAAATTTAAATTTAATTTAAATCAAAGGGGAAAATATTTTCAGTGGGGTCAGGTTGTATCCCACCTGGATCCCTATTTGATCAAAATGAAATATACTTATCCATATACCCTAGGAGTCATTCCTTTATTCAAATTAAAATTTCATTTATATCAAAGAGGAAACAAAATTGGGGGGGTGCAGGGACCCCCTTTGATCAAAATGAAAAATAATTATCCAAGTATCCTGGGTAATGTAGTTTCAGAATATATATGGTTATGTGGGTCCATCTCCAAAACTCTAGGAGAAGTTCAGTAACAAATAAACAAACAGAGGCTACAACTTTATATATATATATATATATATATATATATATATATGATGTGTGTGTGTACTTGTACCATTTTTTGTCTTTTTTGTAAACATTATATAATTCATCACAAGGGCACTTTAATGTGGTGTAATGGTTAGCTTGTCTCACTAGATCAATTATGACTGAGTAGTGAGTTTGATCCTCACTGGGTGCCCATGCTTTTGGCCTTGTGCCACATCTAAACTACATTTTGAAAATCATCATATAATTCATCACAAAAGAGAAATGTGACAATTGCAAATAAATGTTCACATTGAGAAATGATATTGAACAAATAACAATGGTAAATACTCTGATAAATTTTCAGTATTTAAAATTATTTGTTGGGATTGGATAAAATCTTGTGTCAGCCTAGTCTGGAAACCAATGGTCTGGTTCTATAACTACAAAATAAATAAAAAGTTATATTTTCTTTCTTTTTTTTCAATTATTTCAAGCTTACATAAAAAGAAAAAAAACTCATTAAAAATATTTTTAAAAGATAAAGTTCTCAAAAACAGAATGTTGGCATACAAAACAAATATCTTGTAAAATGTTACTCATTATTTCTACACAAATGTAATATGTTCTTTAATTTCAATTAACTCCTCAATTAATTTGTTTTTTTTTTTTTTTTTTTTTTTTTTTTTTACTGACATTGTTTTTGTGACTTTTGACTTAGGTATGACAGTGAAGGATCCATTCTTCAACAGAACATCATTCATTTCCTATCCACCAATTGAGAATGGACACAAAATGCTGACAATTGACATCCTGATGAAGCCTCATCACTTACATGAAGGAATCATCCTCTACAGTGGGCAACAAGAGAATGGACAAGGAGATTTTGTTGCTCTTGTCATGAAGGAGGGTGGCTATCTTGAGTTCCGATTTGATGTTGGATCTGGTGAGTAGATACCACTCACGACCCCCATGCCAAAAATAAATATATTTAAATTTATTTTTAAAACTGATCTATGTCAATTCTTCCAAGACTGTGTATTATTACCTATGGTAATACATGAATGTATTTATTAATAATTCTGATGTTACTTTATAATTAGGTCCAGCCATTATCAGAAGTACTGAGCCTGTACATGCAAAAAAATGGATCAATGTCCATATCCACCGTGATGATAATATGGGCTTTATGGAGATTGATGGTCAGGATATCATAAGAGGTTAGTATCTTTTTAGTTGTAAAAAGTAATTATTTAATATTTGAACATTCTTCATATTATAAAGTATTTAAGTAGATTTTTAAAAATATTCACATACATAAAACACAATGTGTCTGTATATATATATATATATATATATATATATATATATATATTTGTGTGTATAACACTTTTTACAGAGCCTGGAAGCAACACATTAATCCTAAGCAGAAAATAGTTACATCATTTTAAATATTTATTTTGCTAGTATATTACTGTTTTTCATATTTTATTCTATAAAATATTTACCAATGTTTTTTTATCTACCAACCTATACCTCTTTATATCTACCTGAATACATAAACATGTTTAAACTAAGACACACACACACACACACACACACATTTTAATTTATAGTTCAATGGTATACTGTTATCAATTGGAGCCAGTCATACAGTTACAAGTCCACTTAAAAACACTAGTTATTTCATCCTAACTGTCAAAAACACAAGCTCAATTACTTTTTGATATTGGATCAAATGCAGAAAAAAAAATTAAACATACATCAAAACAGAAAACAGGTATAAAACAATGGTAAAACAATGCTATCTGATGTCAACAAGGTCTTCAAAATATTCAAAAGTTGTAAACAGAGAATAAATGTCAAAGCAATAAGTAACAAATTTTGATATTACTAATCAGTCAGTTATGTGCCATGCGTTATACACACTTGGGCAATCATGTATCTTTCGATACATGACTGACATGGCAAATTTTTTCCTGCAGTAGGTTCTGGTAGACCAGTTGCCATCCAAGGCTATAGAACCCAATCTGTCCTGCTATTAATCCATAGCTGGGGGGAGAAGAAGATTCATACCTTTACCAAGGCTATTAGCATGTAAGTGAATGTAATGGATTTGAACTCGGCTCTTCAATTGCTCAATCTGAGCCACTATCCATTACTCCACCATTATATAACTAATACCGAACTATTATAAACAAAAAAAATTGTCTACAATTTTGAAAAGTGTCATTAAGATATCAAATATTATTCCTGATGCTTAAATCTCTCTTTTGTATATTTACTGATCAACCAAGACATTGTTTTAAAAACATTAAATAATTTCAGCATCTAAACACTGTTGGATATATAAGAAAAAAAGAAGTTATTATATATATACATGTATATATTCCTGCAAAAAAGTAGATAGTGTAGGAGATGGCCTTCAGAGTAAGTTTTTTATATACTTTAATCTCTATCAAATTCCTAAAATTCATACAATCCAAATGATAAATGTCATGAATTTTATTATTTCATTTAAATTTGATATAAAAGAACCCCATAAGAAAATTGCATTAAGCTTAAATATTTTTGCAAATTTCTATCACATTTGAATTTTAATTCATTTTTATGCTCTGAAATTTTATTTTTTTAAATATAAGAACTTTATTATTATACCCACTTTACAGGATCTAATTTTATTAAATATTAAACAATTATTAATACTGTATCTTCATTTTCTTAACATGTAAAAAAAAATTTATATTTTTAATTCATATTGTAAAATAATTCCTTTTCCTCAACTTGTCATATAAAAATATATTGTTTTAATTTTTGCCCATTTGTAATTATCTTAATTCATGAAATATTTTTCCCTTTTCTTCATGGCTTGCAGAAATTTAAAACATCAGATTTTCTTTACAGAATTCATCAGATTTCATTTTACAGTAAATGTTTGTTTCATAAACTTTTTTTATATGATTATATCTGTTTCTAAATTATTATTTTTGTAGTCATTTTTTTAATATGATTCTGCCACAAATGACATTCAATTTACATGGTTCATTAAAAATCTGTGATGGAAATGGGCTTTAAGAATAAATAAAAATTTTTGCAAATATAATTTTAAACAAGATAACAGTATAAGTGATGGTATTCAGAGTGAGATTTTTTTATAAACTTTGTGCTCTCCTCTCAGATTCATAAAATTCAAGTGATAAGCATCATATGAATTTTATTATTTCATTTAAATTTAAAGTAAAAGAAAACTGCATTAAAATGAAACAATTACTATTTTTCACATTTTCTATAAAACACACACATACATGACTTAGGAAATTTAAATCAAAATTATATATATATATATATATCAATAATTCTAATCAAGAATTGACTTGAAAAAAGTTTAATAATTTATCTCTTACAGGATACCTTGTTCAAATTTAAATTCAAAGGATTTCTTGGGATATTTTGGTATTTAAATTCATTCCAATTTAGATATGTACACTGACAATAAATAAAATTGCAACATCCTGAAGTGAGATGCTAATTTTGATCAGGATACAGTATGGACATTCTAGAGGATAATAGAAATTATGATAAAATAGATAAGATTGATAATAGAATTATGATAAATTAAGATAAGAGTATTATAATAAAAATTTCAAATATCAGCAAGTTTGTGATGAAATACTTGTACCAATACACTGTCTTTTACTGAATTTTAGACACTGACACATGCACACAGGGTGTGATGAAAGAGTTCAGTGCAAGCAGAGGACATGTTGTATAGATGAACACATACTCATTTTGTTCAATTAGAGCTGGTTTATGACCACATCACATTGAAACACCAGTTCCCATACAATCACCAAAGTTAAGCAACATCAAACTTGGTTAGTATCTCGATGGGTGACCACTTGGAAATACCAGGTGCTTTAAGCTTGGTTGTAAAGATTGTGTAATAGATAATGGCCTAAAATTGTTAATTGGAGAGCCAAGTTCCAATTCAGTTTATATTCACTAACACACAAATATCTTTGGGAAAGCTATGGATCCACATTTTCTCTCCTCAGCTATGGGTTACTTATTAAAACTTTTATCAGTAAATCATTATTATCTCAAAAAAATTCTTACAATGTAAAAATATTTTCTGGCTTTAAATAACCTGAAAATGGTTAATAAAAATTCAAGAAAATGAATGAATCAATCAATGAGATCTATTTGAGAAAATTTGGATTGTATACCTTTGAGGGACTGGATGGTTGTTTCAGAGAATTGCTGTGTATGGTAGATGCAATTTGTTGGTGCTTCATTGTTGACAACAGTGACCAAATGAATATCCCTACATTCATAGAACAGGTTCTGGGTGGCCATAGAGTACAGACAACTGTCAATATCAATGCATTGTAATGGGAACAGTGGTAGACCACACAGCAACTGTAGCACAGATCAGAGCAAATCTGGCTTGAGTAGTGACATTTGGAGTTGTACAAACTCAAACACTGGTATTGTAATCATAGCATAACTTACAACTTTTGCTTGCCTTGGTGTTTGTGACAGGAATGATAAACATGTAAAATATTATCCAACTCATTCAGTGCTTCTTAAACTAAGGATTGCAAGCCCAAATGAGGTTGCGAATCAAAATGCTGGAGTTGTGAAAATTAAATTCAAACAATTAAATTTCAGTTTGTATGTTATTTCACAAATGCACAATATTTAACATGATGCACTGTGCAAGCATTGCACTAATAAAACACGTGCACTGCCATTGCAACTAGTACAATGACAACATATGTTTTCAGTGTAGTTGGTTAATACCAGGATTTGCAAAAAATCTTGCAATGAAAAATGAAGTCATGAATGAAAACAGTTTAAGAAGCTCTTTTCTAGCAGAATAATGCCCACTCATGTTTTGCTCATGCTATAGAAGATGTTTGATATTTTTCTAAGCAGGTCTGTACTGCACTGAACACATACAGAACATGATGGGTTTCTGTCTAACTCATTCATTTAACCCACCTACAATTCTTGTTGTACTGCATCAACTAGTGCAAGAAGCATAGGAATAAGGTATCACATGATGATATTCACCATTTCTACAGTTATATGCATATGAGAGTACAGGCCTGAATTAATGCCAAAAAAGGATACAGTGTTTTGATGTTGTATCATTGATATACCATATATACCCAAGTATAGTGTAAGTTTTTATAATTTTTATGCAAAAAATAAGGGTTCACATTATACAGAGGTAATTTTTTTTGAAGAAGTTAAAAAAAAAATCCTTTTGGTGATCAATTGCACTATACACAATTAAGAATTTTTCTGCAAAAAAAATTCACGGGTTGCACTATACATGAAGTCAGCTTGTACAGAATTATATACAGTAATTATTATTTTTGCACCTGTGCATATATTGATCTGTATATATGTGCATTTTCTGTAACCCATCTATATTACATGTACTTGAATAAATTGAAACAAATATTCAGATTTGCAATTTTATTTTTCATCAGGGTATATTCAAATTAGTAATTATTTGAATTTTAATTTGAGCAAGATGACCTGTATTTTTGTTTAACAACTCTTACAAACCTACTTTGCTATAATCAGTAATTATTAAGCAATAGAAACTGAAGTGGCTAAAAAAAAGTATACAAAGACCAGGCTTAAATCTAAAAAAAAGATACATATCTTTTAAATGTCTTAAAAATAAAGAAATAACTGCAATTTATTTAACAAACACTTCACATTTTTTAATTATTTTAAATGAATTATTATTAACAAATATTAATATTTTACTAGTATTTTTTCATCTTAATCTCAGTTGCTTATTAATTACAACTCATCAAACATTTCAGTAGTTAGTAAAAAATTAGTCTAAATCACTGCATTGTAATTATTATTATAATTTTATAACTGTGCTAAATTCCTGTTTTAACTAATTATTAACTATCAACTTTTTTTTTATCTAGTAAATTATTTATAATAGTGCAGTTTGAATGAATATGTCATTTGTTAGGCATTCAAGTGCATTTGGAATATTTTTAAGGAGAAGGTCCTAACAAATTGATATTTGGTCACACCTTAATCAACATAATTTCAAGGAATAAAAGGCTTTTAAAAGTTTGTCTCAGAAGCACTGAAAATAAATATCTAAATTTATGAATTATTTCAAAAGTTCTATTATAGTTTATTTTTCCTTTTTAATTTTTTAATTACATAACCAGAATAATTCTAGTTAATATTTAATCTAGGCTATATGGTGAAATTATCTTATTAAAAAAATAAAATGAAAATTTAATATCTCAGTAGATATTCTAGCTAAAATTGTTGCCAGAAAAATTTCTTTTTTATGATTTTTGCTCAGCCAGTAAGACTTTTTTCTACTATATCCATAAGTATTATTCATAATACTTTTAAAATCATAATAAACTTAACTGACTTAATTTCTATTTAGTTCTCAAAACCTAGATTCTTTTTATTTTTGTTCCCTTTTTGGAAATCCCAATGCTTATTATTATTAGTTAATTCCATGTAGTAATTATTTGATAATCAGAGATTTGGTTAACTGATTGAATTTTGAAAGCAGTGTTGGTATTTTTATAACATTTTGAATGTCTACAATTATACATAATAAATGTTATTTTTGGTGATATATTAAGATTATTTTTATATTTTCTTATAAAATATTACACAGCATTGTCTATTGTTAGTAGTTGACTAAATCATTATTTTTTATTTGTCTCAGTGTAAGATTTGAATTAAAACATAATAGGAAAGAATTCAAATATTTAATTCTGGCCAAACAGTGTAAATACCTTGGAGAAGAAGCATAGATGCTTACATACACACACAAATCACATCTATTGTAGAAAATTTTCACCTTTTTATTATATAACATTTATAGCAGAGAGAGTGCCCATTTAGTGATATTTTTTATCAGCCATCCTGTACCATAACACCACTCATACCTGGAACTTTCACTGGGAAAGTTTCAAAATAATATTAGCTCAAGTCCTAGGGAGCTATTCCCCCCAGGCAGTACGTCTTCTTCAGGAGAGAGTTGGAGTCATTACTTGGTGACTGAGGTGTCCACAAAAGGTGAAATGCAGAGAGGGCTTCCTCAATTTTCCCACTATATTGCCATTAAATCCACTTTAAGCTGACCTTAGATTTGGTAGCAACATGAGTGTACTGAAAAAGATACACATACAATTATACTGTGTATGAGCTTTCGATAACGATGTATGTTGTAATAAGGCTTGATGTGGTAAAGTAGTGTAAGCAGGTGACATGCACATATTCTCCTTTTGTTCAGTTTGAGACATCTGAGAGGGGTCAGTTCATGGGCCACTGAGAACGTCTTTTTGTAAATGATGGTGGTTGTGTGTGCAACATTGTTTTGACATGTGATATCTTCCAGTATTTTTATTCTGCAACAGAAGAATAATGCTCATCAACGTCATGCCTGTGCTGTTCAATCTGATCTACAAGATATTTGATAACTTCCCTGACTGACTGGCACAATTGACAAACCTGTCCCTATTAGACATGATGTGATAAAACCTGAATTGTTAATTTAGCCTACATACAGTTCTTGCGTTACTGCATCAACAAATGCAAGAGGTGTTAAAATGGTCTGTCAGGGTAAATGAATGTACACTCTCTGGAAGAAATACCACAGGCTTATATTGAGTTCCATGGCAGAATCCATTACAAAGAACAGGTGAAATAGGCCAATCCAACAACAACAAAGCATTAGTTTCTATTAGCTGGTGGTTGAGAGTTCAATTCCTGTGCTGGGCAATATATAAGTATATAGAACAATAACAAGAAGCACAGAATGTATTGCAGGATGATATCCATCATCTACATGATTGTATGCATGTGAGGCTACAGGTCTGTGTAAATGACAAAGGAAGGTACACTTTGTATTAATATGCTGCCTGAGTACTGTTCATATTTTTCGATTTTGGAACTTATGTACTTATTCATCAGCATATAATCATTTACAGTACTCCTCTTCTATTAGTTGTACTCTTAATCTTTAGTAAATTGAAACATATATCCAAGGTGTTACAACTTTATTTTCTATCAGTGGAAAATATATATAACATGTCTCATTAAACAACTTAGACAAGTTTTATCTACTTATTTTTAATAAGATCATATCCTATTAAAAATAAGTGAACAAAACTTGTCTAAATTATTTAATGAAACATGCTGCCAATATATATATATATATATATATATATATATATATATATATATATATATATATATATGTGTGTGTGTATATGTGTATATATATATATATATAAAACATCAATTAAATTGGCTGCATTTGATGTATTATTAAATGGGTTCCCTCTTGCTATTGTTTTTTTCTCTAAAAAAATTAGGCATTTCTGGATTTCAATCAAGTATATTCATGAAAACTGTTATTATCCACTATTATATATTTTATTCTTTTTGACCTCTATTCAGAATATACAAGATGATTAAATTTTACATATCAACAAAATACATTAAATTAAAATCCATTGTTTTTCTTATTTTTTTACTGTCTTTATTTCTTAGTCTTTCCTTAAAAAAAGATTTATTTTTCAATGATAAATTTTTACTGCTTCCAGTTTTTTTTTTCTTCCTCTTTGTAATTCTTTTTTTTAAATTTGTATTGGTGTTTTTGCTGTAATACTGATTATTTTTTTATCAATTTCTTTCCTGTCATCATGGTCAAAATGAACATCAGTTTTTAACTGAAAAGAAATTGATACCTTTGCCATTTCAGCAGCTGAATGAATGAACTTATGAAAAAGAATTCAGCAACACATTAACGATTGAAAATAATTGACTATTCTAGTCTGGCTAAACTGAATATATATTCTGTTGCCTTTAAGTGTTCTCTTTTTATTCTCATTGTTCTCAG